CAGGATGGAGTGACCACCTCCAAGCCCCTATATGCCAGACTTAGAAATCTAAAATCTTTGTGTTTAATGCTTATTTTTTTTTTGTAAATGTTTTATTTATTTTATGAGAGCATGCCAGCGGGAGAGAAAGAGTGGGGGACAGAAGATCTGAAGCAGGCTCTGCGCTGACAGGCTAACAGCATCGAGCCTGATGCGGGGCTCGAACTCACGAACTGTGAGATCATGACCTGAGCCGAAGTCAGATGCTCAATTGACTGAGCCACCCAGGTGCCCCTAATGATTATCCTTTAAAAATTTGGTCTGGATTCCTGGGGTTACCCCTGTGTCTGCATAGCTTAGTGCTGACCCAAGTGACTGACTTGAAAAGAGGTTGTGCTCAAAAACCTTTACGATGTATGACTTCTATCCTCTGTTGATTGATCTGTATGTAGATCAGGGTGTGCATTCAAAGCTCTGCCACATTTCAAGTCTTCTTTGGTTGTTATTTGTCATATCTCCCCTACACATGTAAATAGTTTCCCAGTTGGCAAGGGATGTTGGGAGAGCTTCTCTGGCCTTTTCTTGGCTCTCATTTCCAGGTTCTTCCTGCTAAGATTTCTGACCGGCTTCTAATGCCTACAAACCAGGACAGCAATTTTAGGCTACCAAGTATGAAGGCGTTCCCTCCTTGCATTTCTTCTGAGTTTGCCACTTTTATCTGATGAATCAATGTGTGTGTGGGGGGGGGGGGGTGCCCCTTGCTCCAAATGGAGTCCAAAGCCTCTGCCACAAAGTTGCTGTTCTCTTGGTGAGCCCCTGCTGATCAAATGGCTGTATTCTCACTGTCTGAGCTGGTGCTGTGGGTGGATGGGAGCAGCCTCAGGCACAAAGACAAGAAGACTCTCTTTACCCAAAGCTCTAGCAGTTTTGCAAGAATGCTTTCCAATTTGTTGTCTGCTTATTTATTGCCAGTGTCCTCAAATGGTTATTTTTGGAACATCTTAATTTTATGTGTGTATGTGTGTGTTGATTCACAGATCTCTTCACAAAGGCATAGCCAGAAGTCTCTACCTGTTTACATTTTGATGTACATTTTGATGCGGTCTTAGTTACTTTGCAGTTCATTTTTCATGTATACATACATATGTGTGTGTGTGACTATAAACAATAGTATTTTTATGTCCTAAAAATGCAAGGTATTTTTTCCTTAATATTGTTTTTAACTTTCTTTTTAATTATAAAGTCTAATCCTTTTACAGACTACAGAATTCCATGCAATTAATATATCAAATATTCCATTTACTAATTGATAAACATTTAGGTTGTTTCCAATTTTTTTACAATTACAGACTGAGTGCCACAGTAAACATCCTTCTACATGTTTCCTTTTGGTTTTACTAGGTCTTATCAAGTTATTTTCCAAATTTTTTACCACTCCTTCCATCTATGAGTGAGCAGAACTGTTTTTCCACAATCTGGCAAATACTAGATATTTTCATATTTAAAATTTTTTTACATAGGATAGGTGAAAACTGATTTTAAAGGTATGTATAGTTTTAAGATGTGTAACATTTTGCCAAATTATCTTTCAGAGATTTTGTGTCAAATTGCTCTCATCAATCCTAAATGTCATCATTTCTTTTAAATGTTGACATTCTGATGGAAACGTGGTATCCTTGCTGTTTTATATTGATTCATTATTACTATGATTGAACTTTTTTTGTGATTATTGGCCATTTGTTTTCTTTATGTAATGTTTGGTATTATTTTTCTCCCTATTTTTCTATTGTAAAGTAAATGCAAATTTTAGCTCCTACGTGTAGGACAATGACCTATGTTGAATGACTGTGTATGTTACGAAAGTGAGTTTTTTCTCTTTTTTCTTCTGGCATGTGAATACCATTGTTCCAATTGTTCCAATACCATTTGTTGAAAAGACTATTCTTTCCACATTGAATTGCCTTAGCACCTTTGTCAAAAATTAATTGGTCATATTTACACAGGTCTATTTCTGGACTCTCTTTTGTGTTCCAGTGACTCTGATCTCTGTCCCTTCACCAATACGAAACTCTCTTGATTACTGTTGCTTTTATTTATTTATTTATTTATTTATTAAAAAAAATTTTTTTTAAACATTTATTTATTTTTGAGACAGAGAGAGACAGAGCATGAACGGGGGAGGGTCAGAGAGAAAGGGAGACACAGAATCCGAAACAAGCTCCAGGCTCTGAGCGGTCAGCACACAGCCCGATGCAGGGCTTGAACTCACGGACCATGAGATCATGACCGGAGCTGAAGTCAGACGCTTAACTGACTGAGCCACCCAGGCGCCCCACTGTTGCTTTTATAATAAATCTTAAATCAGGTAGTATGATTCCTCCAATTTTATTAGTTTTCAAAACTGTTTCAGCTATTCTAACTTCTTTGCATTTCTGTATAAATTTTTGAATCAGCTTGTCTATATTTACAAAAATTTCTGCTGGGATCTTGGATTGATAATTTGTGTTAAATCCATACATCAATTGCTATAGAAGTGACAGCTTTACTAGACATCTTCCAATCTACGAATACATTATGTCTCCATTTATTTAGATCATCTCTGATTTCTTTGATCAGAGTTTGTAGTTTTTAGCATACAGATACTGTACATGTTTTGTTAGATTTATACCTAAGTGTTTCATTTGGGAGGAGGGGCTATTGTAAGTAATATTTCTAAACATTTCAGTTTCCAGTTGTGAATTGCTAATATATAGAAATATGACTGGGTTTTGTGGTTGACTTTATATCCTGTGATCTTGCTAAGCTTAAACTCACTAGTTCTAAGAGTTTTGCAGATTTCTTGGAATTTTCAGCAGAAACAGCTGCATTGCTGCAAATGAGGACCATTTTATTTCTTTTAGGCTGTATGTCTTTTTCTTGTCTACTGCACTAGCTAGGACTGCCAGTACTATGTTGAATAAGCTTAGTGAGAATGAACATCCTTGCCTTATTCCTGATCTTAAGAGCAAAGCAGTCTTTCACCATGAAGCACGATGTTAGCTATGGGTTTTCTGTACATGTCTTTTATCAGATTGAGAAAGTTCCCCTTCCACTGTGAATGGATGCAGAATTTTTTCACATGCTGCTTCTGCATCAGTTGATAAGATTACATACTTTTCATCTTTGGATTGTTAATATGGTAGAGAACATTCATTCAGGTTTAAACACTGAACCAGGCTGACACTCTCAAGAAAAAAGCTTCCCTTGGTCATGGTGTATTATTCTTTTTTATACATTGCTATGTATTTTCTTGAGAATTTTTTGGGTTTATGTGTATGAAAGGTATTGTTCTGTAGTTTTGTTTTGCTTTTTTTTCTTGTAAGGTCTTTACCCAGATTTGGTGTCAGGGTAATGCAAGCCTCATAAAATGAGTTGGGAGATTTTCCCTCCTCTTCAATTTTCTGGAGAAGATTATGCAGGATGAGTGTTAATACTTTATTAGGTAGAATTATCCAGTGGAATCATCTGGATGTTGATGTATCTTTCTCACAAATTCTTTTTTTTTTAATAATTAAGAGCTTATTCAAATTATCTGTTCATCTTGGATGACACTGTTTTTTATTTTATTTATAGTACTTTGTGACAGACACAGGTTTTAGATCTTTTTATAATTAAATCTATCAATCTCTTCTAGTTTATCTTTGTGTGCTCAGCAAGTTCTTATTTCCTTAAATTATTAATTTTAGGAGTTTTGATTGTAGTGCTGTATTTCCTTCGGGATAATTCATATTTTCAGTTGTGATCAGTCAGATGTGATCCATCTGGAATTTAGTGAATGATAGGTGAAGATCCAAATCTTTACAGGAAAAAAATTAGTATACAAGAAAAGAATACGGTGGCCTTAGAACCTCCCAACCCAGAAGCATAGAAGTTTCTCACTTGAACAAAATTTTTACGTATTCACAAATACATTAAATGTGTTATAACCATGAAGACTATTTTCAAAAAATCATATGTATAGATGGAGTACAAATACTCTGAGTATACACAAGAAAACTTTTTAAAGAAGATGATTAGCTAGGAAACACAGAATCAGGAAGTCTTCAATGAACATTCATGCTAAAGGAAACAGTAATCAAAATATGAAAATAACTTCTGAAAACTGAACAAAATTATTTAATGACTTGGGAAAATAGAAGAGTGGAGAAAAGTAGGATGCAAAACTTTCCCTGTGATTCGTTCCCTCTCTCTCTCACTCTTCCTCTCTCTTTTTCATAAAAGACTGAAAAATAATGTACACCTAAATGGATTCCTTTTATGAGCAGAGATAATCAACATTTTAAAATGTTTAAATCATATTTTTCACAAATCTCAAATTCCTCTGGATGGGCCATTGAATCCATTAGTGTCCGTTAATCTGACCCAGTCAGCTGAGCACGGCACACAGTCCTTTCTCATCCGTTCTTTTGTGTCTCTCCTGAAGCTACTCACTTTCCAAAGGATGACCTTGTCTGAGAAAGGACTACTGTTGATGAATTCATCACCTGGCTTTCTTCCAGAAGCCCTAATACCTCACTTTTGAATATAGTCATAAAAATTCTAGCTGCTACAAGCGTTCTCTCTTGACAGCCAGAGGAAAAGAGTCAAGGAGGTTGAGAATGGAGGAGGAAGAAAGAAGGAGCCAATGTTTTTGTCTTTTATCACTGGATTTCCTCATCAACCAATACCTCACAGCTCACATTCATAGTGTGTATGATCTCTACTCTTTATGCAGGTGAGTTCTGCTGAGATTCTAAGAGAATAAAGGAAATAGAAACCAGATGGTTTTATTGGTTTTGATGTTCCAACTAATCTGTGCAGATATTATTGTGCCTAAATTCATGTGTAAATGCTTTTGTACAAAATGGCTTCCAGTCTAATTTTTCCATCACAGTCATGAATAGCTAATTATAACCTGTTCACATCGCTAGATAGACCATTGCCAGTGTGCTTCCCCCCACCATGGGAAATGGTGATAACTGCAAGCTACCTCTTCTACTTACCCCTGTGTTGGGCCTCTCCAGACAGGGCATGAGCCTTGGCTAGTAGCGCACTTGCCTCTGCAGTTTGGGGGCTGACGTCAGTGAACAAAGATACACAGATAGAATAGGCCTGGAATAGAGAAAGTCATTATCAAGAGTACCCAAATGACAGTATTTCACAGGATTTTCTAATAGCTCTCATGAAATTGCTAGTTGAGAGCTGTGGATATCTAATCATGGAGTTATAAGAGAGGTGAGTTTGAATCCCAGCTATTTCCTGTGAGTCTTGAGCAAGTAACTTCACCTTCACGTGTAAAAGAAATATATAGTTTCCATCAATTGTGGTTTGGAAAATATTAATGAGATGGTACATGCAAAGCATACATAATACCATCACATGGTAAGTTCTTAATAAATATTAGCCACTATGATGTCTTATTAGGTGTCATAGCAGAACTAAAATCACAACTTTAGCTAAGCTTCTCAAAGGTTCGTTATCAAAGGAAGTTCAGGAGAGTTAAGTATGGACCCTAAAACCATACTGCCTGGGTTCCTATCCCAGCTCAGCCACTGATGACTCAGGCAAGTCACAAACTTCTTCAAATATAAAACCGGAATGACAAAAAATGACTGTTACAAGCAGTTGCTGTAAAGATTAAATGAATTAATATGTGTAAAGTGTTTAGGATACCACCTGGAATGTCCTAAGCATGACAGAAATGGAGATTTTATTACTATTATCATTCGTACTAAAGTGGATGGAGAAAGAAGAGAGAAACCCCTGGCCCACACCCACCAGAAAGAAAAAAGCCCCCTTCCCCCGTGCCTCATAGTTCACACGGGTCAGACACTGTGAGGTATCTCAAGGAGCCCCAGAGATTTCAGACAACACTATGGAGCTAAGGTAGAGTTCAGAGCTGGTATGTGTGCGGGCTCTGAGGACTCAAATTCTCTAAGTTCAAATCCCTGCTCTCCTACTTGTTAGCGACACAACTTCAGCTGAATTAGCTATAACTCTTTAAGCTTCCGTTTCCTCATCCTTAAAATGAGATCAAATCATAATAATGCCTCCACTTCATAGGCGTATTGCATGGATTAAATGAGTATATTCTCAAGTGCACATAGTAAAAGCAGTCCATAAATGTTAACTATTTGTGTTGCTGTTGGGAAACACTGACTATATCTTGTTTTGGCAATCCTGATCTGACCGCCACTTGCACAGTCTTGGACACAAGAACCTGATGGCTTGCTCTGTAAACAGTGGACTCCCTGCCTTCAGACCAACATCCCCCAACATTTCTCCACGGTGTGATTACCTGCATTGCCTTTTCTACAGTATCAGACTGTTTTCACATATACCATTGAATTGCATTGCATGGTTTCTATGATACAGGATATCTAATCCACTTTTGGCTTCCGGAGGTACCAGAAGCCACAAACAGGTTCTTATTTGAGGAGAGAAAAGGCGAATTTAATAAGTTTCAAGGGAAGTTTCAAGTACAGGATGCATCAAAAAGCCCCACACTGTTTTCATTATAATGACTCAACATTCCTTCCTATTTTGTTTTGTTTTCCCCTGGGCATTTGTCAAATTAGTTACCTCCAAGTGAAATACTCTTTTGTCGGTTTAAATTTAGACTTGTTGATACAACCAGCTGGGCTAGCCTAGAGGACAAATGACAGCATCAAACCAAAATATCATGATTTTTCTTTTCATTTTAAAAAAGCCCTTTGTGTTTGCTAAAGCCTTAAGTTTGGTTGCCCCTACAGCTTTTTTCCCTGGAGCCGACTCACTTGCTTACCTCTTCCCAGCATCCACAGAGATGAGGGGAAGCCTGGGAGGGGAAATTTGGTCCCTGATCAGGTCAAACAGCAGATACACTCATCCTGAGTCCGGATTCTCTGCCCATGTTGTTTAAGGTTGAGGAAGGGCTCTTGTGTGGATCTGGCGGGAAATCCACCCCACCCCCTAGTTCTTCTGAGAAGCCCAAGCTTCCCTGGTCCTGGGAACGGGGCATGGGGCCAAAGAAGGCCAGTAGGCTGGTGCTCCAGCCAACTCACCAACCTGCTGCAAGTACTGGATGGCCTGATCATGGTTCCTCCTCAGCTGCTCGATCTGCGCGATCTCCTCGTACAGACTGACCAGATCTGATGTCCTATCACCCTTAGCAGCGATAACATTGCCAATTGCCTTTTCAAAGTATGCCAGAGCAAGGTTCAATCTGTGGACAGCCAAGGAGGCTCTATAAGAAGAGGGACAAAGATGCAAAGTCAGAGAGGCCCCTTACTTTGCAGACACAAAAGGAACTGATTCTAAGAATGAAACGATTTGGCCTTTAGAGGCCAATTATCTGAGTGGTTGACTAAAATCCAGTCTTGCTATAAACAAACTCCCATTAACCTGCATTTTACCCACCAGATTCCACTGACTGATATTCACTCCCATTAATACCGCATGCTATAGTCTAATTTTATAAAAAAGCATAAAATGGCTTCCAGCAGTTCACAAGATGGGTAATTTACCCGTAAACACAGACTTTCTAGAATCAGAATAAAATTTTATTCTGACTCCCTCTCTTTCAGACCAATACAAAGCCATTGCTTTGTCTTGTTTGATTTAGTTTATTCCTCCTCAGTTAAAAATGAGGATAGAGAAAACAATGTAAATATTCCTTCCAAAAGACAGTGGTTCAATAAATTATGGCACATCATATAATAAAATACTTCAGGCTTTAAAAACCATGCTTCCGTTTTAGACTAAATAATATGAGGAGAAATTAAAAGTGTGGCAAATTTAAAAAAGTGATAGGACTACTTAAAGTTGACCCTGACATGGGGCGCCTGGGTGGCGCAGTCAGTTAAGCGTCCGACTTCAGCCAGGTCACGATCTCGCGGTCTGTGAGTTCGAGCCCCGCGTCGGGCTCTGGGCTGATGGCTCAGAGCCTGGAGCCTGTTTCCATTTCTGTGTCTCCCTCTCTCTCTGCCCCTCGCCCGTTCATGCTCTGTCTCTCTCTGTCCCAAAAATAAATAAACGTTGAAAAAAAAAATTAAAAAAAAAAAAAATAAAGTTGACCCTGACATATCTATCTATCGATTGATCAATCTTTATCTCTAAAATATCCATAGCAGTTATGTTTGGGTTGCGAAATTAAAACTAACTCTTATTTTCTTCTTCATATCTATATTTTCAAATCTTCCAAAACAAAATATAATTTTAAAAATGAGAATAAAAAAGCACTTCATTAAAGTTTATTCCTCTAGAGACAGCAAGACACAGGCAAATAACATGGTAGTTCAAAGCTGGTTCTCACAGTTATTAGCTTTAAAAAAATTTTTTTTAATGTTTATTTATTTTTGAGAAAGAGAGACAGAGACAGAGAGTGAGTGGGGGAGGAACAGAGAGACAGGGAGACACAGAATCTGAAGAAGGCTCCAGGCTCTGAGCTGATAGCACAGAGCCTGACGTGGGGCTCGAACTCACAGACTGCGAGATCATGACCTGAGCTAAAGTTGGACACTTAACTGACTGAGCCACCCAGGTGCCCCCCTCAGTTATTAGGTTTATGGTCAAATTCCAGGAGTCTACATTTCCTTCCAAATAAAACAATGATAAGAATACCTAAATTACAAGGTTATAAAGATTAGATAAAAAATTGTACATGAAATTACTTAACATATAGTGGATACACAATCAATATTACTTCCCCTCACCCTTTGCTTCTTCCATCTTTGTATTCCCAGAGTGGAAAAAATATGTATGTATATGAAATTATTTTATATAAGGCATTCCACAAGTTACAATTTATTTTAAACTGAAAGATTCATCCTTCCTCTGAAGATTGGGATTAACAATCAAAAGAGCACTGGCATGTTATCCGGTAATTCTTTCCAGAAAAAATATTTGATCAATCAGACCACTATTTCCTTTGACTATTACAGCAGAAATTACAGAATGAAAATGCCTCTCATCAAGAGCTTGTAGGGAGATATTAGCCAAGTTGTCTGGCCTAAACAATCACAGTGTATTTTCCCTACCTTTAAAATGAGAAAGGGGATTTGCCCTTACTAGATATTTGCTCTATATGAAATATAAGTCAATGTAGTACAGAAGGTGAGCTATGGATTAAGAAGACCCATCTGTTGTGTTGGATCTTCTACTAGTCATTCTGTCACCTTGAGTTACTTACTCTTCCTGTGCCTTAATTTTCTTACCTGTGAAATGAAAACAAAAATACCTACCTCATAGCTTGCGGTAGAGGATTGAACTAAATAAATGACGTAGCGCACTTAGAATAGTTCTTGGAGATAGTTACACTGTTCCAACACTTAGAACAGTGCAGGTACAAAATAGATACTAAATAAATATTGTAGAATGAATGAGTGAAATACGCACTAGTATTTATTCTGAAAAAGGAACAACGCTATCTTTCACATACGGCACAAAAACCTTAGCCACTGACCCATGTGACAGCAGCAGACATTCACTAGACTCTAAATTATGGCTCCGTGGACTTATATCAATAGTTTGATCTAACGTTGGGCATTCAAACACCTCCCCACCATTTCCCATTTGATTTCTAGGTTCATGGTTGTTTAGAGCAGGTAGGCATGACTCATGTATTTCATTTACTTACCATTCCGTCATCGACCCTACCATGCCAAGTGTTTACAGTTTTGGAACCAGATTGTGGATGTGCAGATATCTTAAAAATCTAAGGAACAGTAAACCTTTTATTATTCTTTTTTTCCCCTGATAATCTGCTGGGCCCACTCTTATATGTAAATACTGTGATTCTCTCTGAGGATACCTAACTCAACTGCAAACCAGTTAAGTCTTGTTCTGGCTTGAACACATCCCAAGTACTTGGTTTCCATTTGGAACAGAACTTTCCTTAAAAATGCATGTGCCGTGCATAGCTTTCATGGGCTTCCAATAAACAAACGGTCTTCATTAAGTACTCTTTCCTTGTCTTTTAAGATACCATGCTTCATGACAAAAGTAGGTGGCGATTCAGAAAAAGACATAATTTGAGAGTAGGTGTGAAAGACAGAATAAGGGCGAGGAGTCCATGAGTTCAGACCATGGATCCAACACTTGTCACCGTGGACGGTTTGTTTAATCTCAGCCTCAGTTTCCTCTCTCTCTCCCTCTACAATAATTGCACCAACTACCTCACTGCTGTCTATGAGAATTCAATGGGCACTGCACATAAAGCTTAGACCATGGTGTGTGCGTTTGGTAAATAAAACGCCTCTTTTATCACCATCTGAGTATCTGGGTTTTTTGCCCTGAGTATTTTTTCTCCCCTTATACAGAAGAGCACAGAACAATCATGTGATACCGGGCCTCATTCACAAAAGCCTAAGCCTCTCAAAGCCCAGATCTTACCTGCCCAAAGCAATTGTCAGGTCTTTCTCCGAGACTTGTAATCTGTGAACACTTCCCTCACATAATTCTTTCAGCTCCTTCATGTTTCTCTCTGCCTTCTGCAGGTTGAAATAAGCCTCTCTGCCAGTGAAACAGTCAAGGAAAATGCCAGGCACACAAACTCCCCCACTTCCCAGGGACAACGGTTGATAAGTAAACAAAAGGGCCACTTGGGAAAATGAAGCAGAATTTGAAAAACAGGCACTTTACTATGTTCTTTATTTTCTATATGTATATGTTGTCAAGAATTCTTTAGAAAATAAACAGAGACCTGGGTTTCTTATGGCAGTAGCCTGAATCCAGGGCTGTGGTGGGTGGTGAGCATTTGGAGAAGCGAACAGAAACTGTAAATTGTGCTAGATTTCCTTTAGAGGCATCCGTGGTGTGATAATACTCACTTTTCCCAAGTTGCTTCCTGTGAATGGTAAAAGAGAGGAACTAATTCTGCTGAAAGGGACTTTCTGGATCATTTAGAAAGTCCAAGCAAAACAGATTTTTGGCAAAAGGCAAACAGCAAGAAAGAAAATCCCCTTAATTCCCAAATATCCTATTTCCCACATAGTCAGTAGCCCCTTCTAAAGGCATAACAGAGAGGGGCGCCTGGGTGGCGCAGTCGGTTAAGCATCTGACTTCAGCCAGGTCACGATCTCGCGGTCCGTGAGTTCGAGCCCCGCATCAGGCTCTGGGCTGATGGCTCGGAGCCTGGAGCCTGTTTCCGATTCTGTGTCTCCCTCTCTCTCTGCCCTTCCCCCGTTCATGCTCTGTCTCTCTCTGTCCCAAAAATAAATAAAAACGTTGAGAAAAAAAAAAAAATTTAAAGGCATGACAGAGAAAGGCAACGAATCAGTGTTTACAAGTTGAGTACCAAGACCAAAAAAGCAGAGAGGGGAACGTGGTAAAGAGGAGAGATGAAGGACACATGGTCTCAAAGAAGACTCATGGTTAATTTTGTTTAATATGGAATGCTTTATAAATTTGCATATCATCCTTGTTCGGGGGCGCGCTAATCTCTGCATCGTTCCAACTTTAGTGTATGATCGATAGTGAACACGAAATACCATGCACAGTTTTCAAGTAGAGATAGTACCAAAAGGCTGTCAAAATCACACGCTTTTTGAAGAGTAATGGTCCGCCTCTGGGGACATAGAGAACTATTTCTTTTGTCTTTTTTGCTTGGCCTCCAGCTTCATGGCAGTATTCTCAACAGGATTTCAGAAAAACAAAAATGATCAAGAGTCCATTAAATCAGAGACTTCTGGCTGCAGGTTACAATCACCTGGGGGACTTTAAAAAATCTCAATAAACAGATGAACCCCAGACCTACTAAATCAAAATCTCGAGGGTGGGACCCAAACAGCAATAATTCTTAAAGCTCCCCAGGGGTTACAGGTGCTGCCTAGTTTGACAAACATTGCTTTAAATTACCACCCGCTCTCCCCACTCCTATACCACCCCCCACCCACTATCACCCATGACCTCACTGCTAAAACTGGTCTTCTTGGGTGCTCAATCAAGCAGGACACACTCCGAAAACTTTTCAGCTGGCTAGGGGACAGGTCACCAGTGAGACCCCTCTCATGGCTCAACTCAGAGTTTATATGAACAGATACAGGAGGAATATTCATACCCTTCTAGATGGAGGTAAGAAGCTTGCAGGGGGCTCTGGATGTCAGAATAGAGCTGTGAAGCCTGGTTCAATCTCCCCTGCTCCTAGGTGAGACGACCCACCTGGGGACATGTGCTCCCAACCCCTCCCCCAGCCTCAAGCTCTGATCACAGGCCCAGCCAGGAAAGGAAGGATATTGGTTCTGTAGGAGCCAGGCCACCCCCACGGTGTAGTACAGCATGACCAGAGCTTCCAGGATTTCCTTTTTCTCCGTGTTTGAGGTCGTGTTTTCCTTCCAGGTCAGCAGCGTGCTCCTGGCAGATTCAGCATGTTTCTTGGCCTGAGCTGGGAGGCCTGGGGAAGTTTGAGGGTGGGTGGCAAGAAGAAAAACATTAAAAAGTCATGTTTCAGTGAAAGACATTTCTGGGAGGAAATAGGTGGGTAGTGTGTCTGTCGTGTGCTCTATAGTATTAGTTTCCAAAGCTGGCTGCGCATCAGAATGATCTGGAATGCCTGTAGAGAATATAGATTCCTGGGCCCCACCCCAGACCTACTGAGTTGGAATCTCTAGACGAATAGAGTCCAGCAATCTATATTTTTAATTAATTCCACAAGTGCTTCTTATGCAGCCATCAGAGCATTTATCTGGGGTCCAGTCTGGAAATCACTAGTAGACCAGGAGTAGAAGCTGAGTATCCTGTTCCCAATCCTGCCGTTAATGCCATGTGACCTTTTCAACCCACAAAGCTTCTCCATCCTCCAAATGTAAAATGACAATAATTATAGAAGCTGTGCCTTTACCAAACACCTGGAGCTAGTCCAGGAACAAACTAGGTTAGGCCACAGAGTGCTACGCTTTGAGCTTTCTGGAAAAGGCATTCTAAAAATACAAGGGCTTATGAATACAATTACTTCCATCTGGGGATTTTTTTTTCAATCCAAGATGAGGCTGGATAGGCTAATTGGTCACACACACACACACACACACACACACACACACACACACACACACTCTAATTGCTAAAGGCAGTGAGGCCCTCACTAAGAAGACAAAGGGATCCCTGATGGGAAAAGAGTAGCTCCAGAGAAAAGAGAAAGGCCAGCAGAGAACATATTATCCTAGAACATTATCTCCTCTGCTCTACTGAAGACAGTTAGGGCTGGTGTTCACGTTCAGCTCTCCTCTCTGCAGGTTGGTAAACATATTCACCCCTGCCAGCTAGGCCCACCGCACCCGTAATTCTCACTTCACAGCCCCATCCCTCAGTCCGCTCTGCCTCTGGCCCTTAGAGCCTGTTTTCACAGTACAGGTAGAATGAATGGCCACAAAGATGATCTTGAAAGGTCTTGAGGCCTGTGGCCCTCATACATTCCATGTGCAGGACCTCCTTAATGAGTCGCTACAAGGTAGGGGGAACAAAGCTTCCCTGGGAGAGCCCTAAAAGGGACCTGGAAGCCAAGAAGTCTTTGTAGAACACTCAGAGGTTCCTGTTCTGTAGGTCTCAAGAGATAAATGGAGTCTGTGGCCAAAGAGATGGCTGTGCCCTAAGTTACCAGGTAATAGCACCCCTCAAATTGCACTGCACTTCATAAACACCCTGTGAAAATGCAGATTCCTGAGCCTTGTTTCCAGTAGTTATGGTTGACAGGTTCTGAGGTGAGAACAAAGGATTTACATTCATAACAACCATCCTAGGTGATACTGATGCAGGCTGTCTAAAGACCACACTCAGAAAAGCACTTGGTAAAATCTTTATACAAGAGGTGGGACTCCTCTTACTTTGAAGAGTAGGTAGTTTGACTGATAGAGAAGAATGAGGAGGGGTTTCCCCTTGTAGTAAACAGCCCGAGGCCATAAAGACAGAATAGGCAAGCGTGTGTGTGTGTGTGTGTGTGTGTGTGTGTGTGCGCGCACGTGCATGCACACAGGCACACCCATGTGCATGCATATGCTGGTGGGGTGGGGTGGGGGCATGTAGGAGCACCATGGAAGGCAGTAAGGAGACCAGCCTGACTGAAAGGGAGATTTAAATGTAAAGACACCCAACGTGTGAATTGGATGGGAAAAATGGAATCTTGGATGCCAAGTTGAGGAGGCTGGATTTGATCTGGTGGGTAATGGGAAGTCTTTATAAGTCTTGAAGAAGGGAGCAGCTACAGAAAAACCTGCCAAGGACATCAGAAAAGACAATAAAACTGGAAACTAAGGAAGTCTTTTTATCAAATAGGCTGTTTCTACAACCACACAGGCCCTTGGAAGTGTGTCAGCAAGAAGTGAAGGAACCCAATCTAGATGCTTCCCTCTGTCTGTAGGAAGGAGCAAAGTGAAGCTGGCTGAGCCACTGAAAACCACCCCTGAATCAGCACAATGCTGCTTCTGGGCTCCTGAATGGGAAACTAATGAGAAAATAGTTCCGAGGCTTTGCAAGTCTGCCCTGCCAGCCACCCCCTACCTAAGTGTCCAGTTATGGCTGTGAAACCCCCAGAGGAATACTTTTCCTCTAAGTTCAGCAGCCAATCAATTATCGGGTTCCTCTTCTCCACTTTATCATGCCCCACGGTGTGGTCCTTCTTTTTTTTTAAAAAAAATTTTTTTTTCAACGTTTATTTATTTTTGGGACAGAGAGAGACAGAGCATGAACGGGGGAGGGGCAGAGAGAGAGGGAGACACAGAACCGGAAACAGGCTCCAGGCTCTGAGCCATCAGCCCAGAGCCCGACGCGGGGCTCGAACTCACGGACCGTGAGATCTTGACCTGGCTGAAGTCGGACGCTTAACCGACTGCGCCACCCAGGCGCCCCACGGTGTGGTCCTTCTGATGAAAAAGCTGAGCTGTGTAACCACTGGGTTTAAACAAACTGAACACGGATCTCAATTTAAAATGGCGCATTAGGGGCACCTGCGTGGCTCAGTCGGTTAAGCATCCGGCTCTAGATTTCAGCTCAGGTTGTGATCTCACAGTTCATGAGTTCAAGCCCCATGTCAGGCTTTGAGCTACAGTGTACAGCCTGCTTGGGATTCTCTCTCTCTCCCACTCTCTCTGCCCCTCTCCTGCTCACATTCTCTCTGTCTCTCAAAATAAATAAATAAACATTTTTTTTTTATTTCAAAAAAAAATAACATAAAATAATAAATTGGCTCCTTAAAGTCAACCCCAAAGGAAAAAGTCACTCCTTTACTGTTCCCAGAATCCATTCTGGTCTCCAAAGTGGGGTGCTTGTAGCCCTACAGTTTGCAAGATGCCATAATGATGTAGGGAAAAAAACTAAATGTCTCTATTTTTAAAATTTTTGTTTTCTGTTTTTATGAATGTATATTATATAAGATATTAATACAACTGCCATAACTTATCATAAATACACACACATGGAGAGTACTCAAATTTTTTGTAGTGATAAGGGAGCTAATTCTCAAGAGTTTAAGAGATCACTGCTCTAAACAAATGTTTTCCGCTATTTTCAACTATGAAAGAGCTCGTCTCATGTTAAAAAAAAAACTCACTTTGTGATATTTTTCTGGCACTTCCTATGTGAGAAAATTCATGATGACAAAAAGTACTATGAATCAGTGTCAATAATAATTTGAAATAGATTCGCATTTTACTGATTTCAAGAACGCCCTCTTCGATGTAAAGATAACACTGCATAGATGTATATGTATGAGTGTCATGTCAACCCTCTCTGGAGGAGGCTCACAGAGTGATGATCTTGTTCTTGAACTCCAAGCCCCATCTCCCTAGTTCCAATGTCAACTCTGAGAGACCAAGTCATTTTCCTTTACTTGCCCTTCTTCCAAGCCAAGGACACCATCCTTCTCCCTGCACCAACAGTTCGGCAATTACAGAGGGAAAAATCAGACCTGCTCTTGGAGCCTGAGATTCAGAAATTACAGGGGATGTTGATGAATTGGAAATGGGTCCCAGTATTGTCCACCAAACATATCAAAGCATTTTGCTTTAGTTTGGGATGTGATTCCACAACTGATGTCTGTTATTCTGACTCAGGCCAGAGGGAATCTGCTCGGAGACACCCAGTCTTTGGAGTTGCTGCTGTCACCTTTGATCATCATCTATATTTAAGAAGTCAGCCTACGGCCAGACTTCCCAGATACCAATCTTGCCTCAGCCACTTCCTACTATCCCTGTGGCCTTGAACAAGTTACTTTATCTATGCTGCAGTTTATTCACCTATAAAATGTTAATGAAAATACTTTCTACCCTGTAGGGTTCTTGTAAGAATGTAATTAATTCATGAAAATAAATGGTGCCTGGCACATAGCAATGAAATGAATTTGAGAAAATTACTCCTCCTCCTCCTACTACCAGCATCCATTCTCTGAAGCCATTTATTAAATGTGCCCTTGCTTTGGACATTTTTCATAGAGCTGCTTACAGAATCCCTGGAAAAGGCTGCATTCTCAAATGCAATCTCATTGCAGGCAGGCATGAGGTTTCCTGCAGGTCAGGTCACCTGGTTTTTATCATTCCCTGTTATCCCTGTATCAGTGTGGGTTGTTTTTGTTTTTGTTTTTTTACCAACTAGACAGAGAAGGTAGAGTTCATAACTTACGCTTCTTTTTTCTGTATTTTACGGCACTTGTAATAATAGAGGCCGGGATACCTAGAAGGTCTCAGCAATAACAGGCTAATTTACTGCTTTATTAATAATAAGCAAAATATCAGGAAACCGCTTATCTATGCACTTACATTCTTCTTCCTGAACTCTTGCCAACACTTCCCCACTAGGTGACAAGCACCTTGTTGTTCTGTGCCTGCCCTTTGCTCACCCGCTGAAGCGCTAGGCTCCTTAGGCTCATCCCCAGGTCTGCTGGCACTAGGGTCCCACGTCCGGCCCATGCTCTAGCCCACCATACGGCAGCCTTCACATGGTGCCCTGCAAAGGCTCTGTGCTCTCTCGTGTCGACTCCTGAATCCCATTCCATCAATCGCCTCTTTTTTAAAACCTTCAAATGCTCTCACTAAAGGGCTTTTTCCTCACTGTACAATCTTCCTCTTCTAAAATCATCTTCACATGACTTTTTTGGCTCGGCCAGTTACTCTCCACTTTTCTCTTGTTCCTTTCAGTATGCAGGGCCCAGGCCCCCATGCAGTCCCTTCGTGCCTGGGATCTGGCTTTCGCTCCAACCACTCTGCTGGCACTTTTCTCCTCAGGCCCCCAAAGACCTCCTACTAAATAAATCCAGTCACAGTTTCTCAGACACTCTTAGCTGCTTGGCTTCTCCTCTTGGCCCCTAGGACACTGCACCAACCCAGTTCTCCTTTCTAAACCTTCTCTAATTGCTTCCTTGCTAATAACTCTTGCTGATAACTAATAACTTGCTAATAACTCTTTGCT